GCGTTTGTGGTCGCGTTTTTCTTTTTTTTTTTTTTTTTTTTTTTTTTTTTTATTATTATTATTATTATTTTTTGGCTCGTTGGGCCACCCACCCCGTCTAAACGGAGGTTTGAGGGAACAAAACGAGACTGGGGCCTGTGCTGGTCGTCGATCCGGGTTGCAGAAAGTCGAAACTCTGGTAGACTTTAAACTCTCTGGAGAGACAGAGGGGGAGGTCAGGTTTTAAACTTGCACCATCGGCCCTTCTTCTACGGTTCAACCTTGGCCGTGAGCTCCCACTTTGCCCCGGAGTGTCACTACCACACCACTCACTACCTTAACCCTGACCTACATACATCTCGAACATTGTCATCTTTCTTTTACCCCTCTCTTTTCCCTTCTCTTCAATTTCTCTCCCTGTACTGTGCGTCCAAAACTAAAAAGTCAGTCTGAACCCAAGCAAGAATACACACCTCCCGTCCAGCCAGCAGTTGCGCGGAACAATAACTGTTGGACCTGGTCACTCGCTCCTTCTCTCTTTAAACTTCCTGGAAACATCGCAGTCCTAGCCGCGTTGCTTGAAACTCTGATCCAGCAGTGGTTCAACTCTGATTGATATTACCTCTCTCGGCCCCTTCCCTGTCAACTAGGTTCAACCCCAACTCTACTACTCCAATCTCCGCCGTCAATTTGGGACGAAAGGAACGAAAGATGGTGAACGGCACCGCTGCGGTGTTGGAACCCACGTTTACGGGGTATGTCGCAACGACACAAGATGCGCTGATCTTGTTCGAGGCCTGTTTGACGGGCATCCTACATCATGTTCCCCGTCGACCTCATGATCGCGAAAGGAGTCATCTCGTCCGCAGTGGCAGTGTCTTCATCTACGAAGAGAACTCATCAGGCATCAAACGATGGACAGACGGAGTTACGTGGAGTCCCAGTCGCATCTTGGGCAACTTTCTAGTTTACCGAGAGCTTGAAAAGCCGTTTCCACCAGGAGAAAAGAAACGAGCGATGAAGAAGGCCAACCGACGTCCGGTGCCTTCTACGAGGCCTGGCGAGCCCTACCCGCGGCATGATAGCAACGGTGGATCTTATTCTCCCTCATCGACATCCGGCTCGTTTGGCGATCGGTCGCATCAATCGGATGTAGAACGAGCACTGGTCGGTTCTTTGGTGGATTCATACGGCTTCAAGGATTCGGGGCTGGTCAAGAAGACAATGAGCGTAACTGTCTCTGGGGTGACTCACCACCTGGTGTCGTATTACAGCGTTGAGGATGTGATGCGGGGCGTTCTGAATCCGCCGTCGATGGTGGAGTCGCTGCGATATATTCGACCACGCGCGGAACTGACGCAGAAGCAGAGCTTTCGCGCCCCAATCGACGATTTGGAGACGGGAGGACTTGAGAATCCGAATGATCCGTCTCATGCCATTTATGGATATCGCCCGCAGCTGATGGCGCCTCCTGGATACGGCATGCCGAATCCCCACCCCGAGTTCTATATGCACACGGCGCCTTATACCGCTTCTCACGCACCACAGGCTGCGCCCATCCCTGGATATTCCATGGGAGGGTCAATGCCCGCACAGCCCGCACAGAATCCGTACCTTCCTGCCCCTTCTGCGCCCGCGCATGTCCCACAGAAGACGGAGGACTATCCGCAGTACAGAAATCCCAACCCAGCTCCAAATCAGTATGGCACCAGTTTTGACTCCGTCAACCATGCGCCTTTGTCTTCATCCATCCCGTCCACCCTGAACAGCACCATACCTAGTTCCCTAAGCGAGCGCAATCGCTCCACATCGGATCAAAGTGTGTCAGCATACCGAAACTCCTCGATCTCATCGCGCAGTGTTGCCACGGACGTGACGTCGCCGATCGATCCTTCCACCCCAGCGACCTACTCTCGAGGAAACAGTTTCAGCCTCTCGGGCCACATGGATGGACCGTCGCAACATCCACCCGAACAGCGTGGCATTGCGGCAGCATTCGATCCCAGTATCCCTCGCCGGGAGTCCATACCTGCTCATTACTATGCGGGAAGCGATCGGCCTCAGTATTATATGGGAGCGACGGCCCCGGCCGCGCATGCGAGTTACCCTGTTTCGACATGGACCACGGCTGCTCCAGCTCAGCCGCAAATGTAACTCTGCCTCTACCCTCCTTTATTCCCTAATCTCTTCCTTTATTCGTTTCGTTCAACCTTCCTATGATAACCCTGTTTTCTTTTCTCCTCACATTAAATCTCTGAGGGCGGCGATTTGGGGATAGACTCTGCATGCACGGTATGGATGTTCACCCGGTTGGAATTCTGTTCTTCAAGAAGATACCGGAGGCTGTTTCTTTCATGTTTTGCTGTGTTGTCTTCTATGACGATATGATGCACATCAAAATCTCTTCGTTCTTAGCCACTTTTGATCTTTTTCTTTTCGCCTGCACTTGTTCGGAGGGTCCTTCATTCGGGTTCAGTTGCACCGTCTTTACATGATTACGAGCAATGCCACGGTCTGGGTGGTTCGGTCTGGGTGGTTCGGTCTGGGTGGTTATCTGTGTTTTTCCTCTTTTCTTTTTTTTTACCCCTTTTCTGTTTTGCTAAGCTCTTATATCCTTATTGCTCTTTTACGGAGAGGGGCTCTAGGTGTATACGGGAGCCGATACCATGGCCACTGGCCAATTCACAAGCCAGGTCACATTGATGTCTTTTGCCTTTACTCTGATAGGTTGTACTCTGGTCTGCCAGTGGGGGCTATATCATACCTTACTTATAGTAGTCCAATTAATCGCCAAGCCCCTTTTTCCAGGTGCTGAAACAGAGGTGCTACGTGACATGTCTCCATTGCTTGCATGTAACATCTCGATGTGTCAAGCTGTAGGGGAACGGATGGATTACATCATCATCATCATCATCACTCTTCGATTTGACCCAGTCAGCTCCTTACCTTACCAGAGTCCTCCTGCTTCATGACCATCCGTATTCGCTTCAGTCGACGTTGAAAAATGATGCTTAGTGCGTACTAGACTATGATCTAGGAAACCCTCATTCTGAATACTCAGAGACAGAGGTTTGAAGTCTGTACTCGTAGGTAAATGTAATAGGCCATCGTCAGATCCAACGCTAACTAGGTTACCCGTCCGCTGTCCGTAGTCCGTACAGAGCAGGTATCTACCTGATGGTACAGAGTACCTTAGCTCTGCCGTAGTCATGATGAAACAATCCCTCACCCAAGGATTCATCGACCTAGCACTACCACAATTCCACAAAATCAATCTGCGGGACTACAAGGACGGACGGTCTCTCATTACAACATTGAGTAAGGTATTTCTAATTCTTCGTCTTTTTCGTCTAATGACGGATACAGTACGGTACATAGGACGAAGGATGAGACTGCTTGCAGATCATTCGCCAGTGGGCCGATTTGACCCGTAGCCCGTCGGGTCCTGGGTCAGCGAATCACGGACACTTGGGGCCGGGAGACGCGGATCAGAGTAGCCCACTTCGGCAATCTTGATTGGTGGGACCGGTTTACATGCTACCTTACAGTACCTAAGGCAGACTACCTTACCTAAGTACTCCGCAGTGTGTGGTGATCATTTCATTCGAAGTCGAGGTACTACGGATACTGTAGAGTCTGTAGTTGGTGTGATGTGGATGGTGCGCTTGCGGCTCATGTGACTTGATAGACATGCGGATTCCCGGGTTATTACTTATCACCTCGGTCATGTGAGAGCTGTGGAACTGATATCGATAAGAAAAGAAAAAGGGTGCATCAGCACTTAAAAACGCCGGTCAGGTATTTGGGAGCGCAGTTCCGGATGATGATCCAAATTCAACCCTTCTCTTGACCTTGTCCTGCGGAGGGTCGTCCGGCGCTGTGGTGGTGCTGGTATGGTGGTGGATGGTGGCAGTGCAATCGGGGACTCTCGGCGTTCACCTCTATCCCGCTTACCAACGCCACTGCCATGGTGATTGTCACTATGGGTGGTGGATTTGGTGGTGGGACGGCTTCCGCGCGGACTTGACAGGTGCGAGGCCATCTGGTTGTCCACCAGGAGGTGGACGTTCAAGGTCCTCGGGTCCGAGATTCGGGTTCTGGGGTGTGTGGTGGGGGCCGTCTCGCTCGGGGCTGGTGTTGTTGTTGTTGCTGCGGCGGCGGTGTTGGTGTTGGTGTATGCGAATCTTGCCGGCCCCCGGATCGGCTCGACTATAGTGCAATTATGGTCGAGGTCTTGATGGGCGTCGTTGTCGTCTTGTAGCATTCCTCCGTCGGGGGAAATCTGTGGTTGTCTGCATCAACTCTTGTTTCCTATCATTGGGATTCAGAACAACTTACAACGGATACGAATCTCTTCCCCGGCATGTTCACATAGTCATCAAAGGAGCTTTCGAGAGTCGCGAAATTGAATCCTTTCTTGGATGCAACGGGCTCAAAGCGCTGTCCAACCTCTGATCTGAAGTCCACAGGCCGCCGACTCACGGGCTGATACTTGGGCAAAGACAACCACCAGTCCGGGTAGCTGCCGTACCACGATTGCAGGGTCGGCTCGATGTCCAGGGAGAAAACAATGCGGCTGTCTGCGCGCGGTTTCTGGATCAACATGGCAAACGTGAACTCCCGCGGCAGGCCCGATCTCTGCAAACTGTTCTCCTCCAGCGACCAGACAATCTCCCCTGCTTCAATGTCGAAGTTCCGCCCTCGTGAGCTCTTCAGCGTTCGTACTGATCCCTGGATTCTCATCATCTCATAGCGTCTGTATCGGCCATTGATACCACCGGTGGGGGACAGGCTGGCCATCAGCGGCAAGTCGACGACTCCCAGTGATCCGGACAGGCTGTAATTCCACTGCAGTGTCTCTGGCGATACGGTGCCGTAGATCAGATGTGGTGCGTGCATGAGGAAGCGTGGGTTTCCCGGCGGGTAGCCGTTCGGGTAGTGGTCCGACGAAGCGACTTGACGGGTGCCCTGCACAGAGGCTCGAATCGTTGCCGCCTTGAATCGATGCGCCAAAGTGTTGGGTGAATGGAAGACAAAGTTGATCCCCAGGAAGTCTACGTGGTCATAGTCCTTGTCGGAAACGGCAGGGCTGGAGTAGAATCCATGCTGCAGTCGCTGGACATGCGCTGTGATGTATGCGTCGCCGGGTAATCGACGCTCGTAGATACAGGCTCCGTTGAGCAGTAATCTTGGGTTTGTCAGATTGGGATCTGCAGGGATCTGGGACTCTGCGTTGCTGGATGCGAGTTTCTTTTGTTTATTGCCAGGGACACCCGAGTCGCGAGGCAACGGCGCAGGAGGCGCGGGACCGTTCATGATTGGCATTCCCAGGCTTGTCCTTGTCGTATCAGGTAGGTAGCCTAAAATCGCTGCTGCGCGTCAAAGTCCTATGTTTGAGCTCGTTTCTGTGTTGTGTAGATCCATGAGCGGGGGAAGTAGAGGATACGCGAACAGCCTGTAGATCAACATCATTAGTTATGAGGTGAGTTAACGAGTGTCAGATGCGGGCTCTCTGCTTTTGACTTACTTGGACAAACTTGAGGGCGAAAAACGAGTTTGTGGACAAATGCTCATGGTTGGAGTCAGGTGAGAAGGGATCTACGGTCATATGAGAGACGGACGGATGTGCTACTTTGGATGTGGTGAATGTTTTAGTGAATGTGTTGCTTCCTTGACCTGAGAGGAGTTAGGCTAAGGGCAAATGACTCGAATACATCCTGTTTCTTGCATTTTAGAGAATGGTATACGGAAGGTGACCAAGGTGAATTCGAAGTATATATCTCTATGCCGTATCACAAGCAACCCAAAGACCCTGAGCCATGGACAGCCGTCAATGAGTCCTTTCTGACACATCTACTGACTCTAGCTTGATTGTACTAGGTATGGCTCTATCTCAATCTTGATCCCCACTAGTTTTGTGTCAAGTTACCTTATGATTTGCACTTCAGGATTGAGATGATGAGGCGGTTACACCACACCCGATGGGATTGATGCCTTACACCTATTCAGACAATGACTCAGATTTAAATAGGAACGAAGGAAGTTCCATTGTATCCTCGCACGGTGAAGGTAATTCAACATGTCGATGTTCGCCCAAAGGTTTACCCCAGATACCATTGTACAACCACATCGGGAAGAAATCACATGACATGGCCGGAACAACACTTCCTCCGTACGCCTTTCTTTCCCCAGACAGAAAAAGGTGGTCACGAGTCTCGATTTATATACATTCCAACGGTTTTCATTGCCTCATTGCGACACGAATATTCGTGCGGTTTTCGGGCTCAACTGGAATCTAGCTGATCTGTAGATGGCCGCTGTCTGGTCTCACTGTCACCTGGATACCTTCTGACCCGGGGCCGCCGTTGAGTTGAGTTGTGTGGAAATCGGGTGATTGAGCCGCCATCATATACTCCGGTCATCACTTTCAATTCAGAAGCAGAGAGAGATATTGTTGATTATTCGACTCGTCGCCTGAAAAGGCCGTCCCTCACTTTTTGTTAAGTTCACATTCGCGACAAGAGCGCCGACTTTCGTTCCGTCATTGTGCACATCTTCGAACTTGACTCTCATTCTTGATCGTTGACCTCATCGCAGCATATGGGGTTTCAGTTGACAGCATATTTTTGACGGACATATAAACATCAGTCTTAATTGACTATGTTACTGTCCTAGCGGCTGTCTTGAGTTAGGGAAATTCGCCAACCGAGACATATGCATTGAACCAGACCTCCGAACAGATCTCATATTTTCTGCCTAGCGCGTTCCTTCTGCTATTTCACTCATCTCCTTTCTTGTGCCATTGATTGAGGAGGTTATCATGGCAACTAATGCTCTTCTGCCGGTGCCCATTCGAGCAATCAGGCAATCTTCAAGTCTATGGAGAGGAACCATGTTTCGTCCACTCGGATCGACTTCCGCCGCCTGCAGAGGATGGCAAAGCCCCCGGTGGAAGAACCTACACTCTTCGACGGTATCCACTCCATCAGATCGTCCTAGATACACACAAGATAGGTATGTGCATGGCCTATCTACGCTAGATCTTTCATGAAGCCTAACAGTTTGCTAGGTTTGTGAGACACACGGGCTGTATGTTCCGTGCTATCGAACCTCAATGTTCTCGACCACTTAATCTACAGAGGAGATGGTCAGGCTCAAAAAGGCCGGATGATCAGATGGAGAACCCCTCTCAAAAGTGAGTCTTGACTCTCTGCGTTACTTGTCGGTGCCACTGCAGGTCTCCTCGCATGTGAGTGATTATTTCTTGATGAGAATTTTAACCATGTGCAGTCCTCAATCCGGCTCGAAAAAGTCTCCAATCCTTTCTAAGATTCCTCTTCCTGCTCATGAGAACATTTACACCGTCCCCAATATCCTCACATTTTCCCGTCTAGTCGCGGCTCCCTTGGTAGGCTACTTCCTCGTTCATGATCAGCATGCGGCTGCACTATCATTATTTGCCTATGCCGGTTTGACGGATCTTGTGGACGGCTATATTGCCCGACGGTATAACCTGCAGACTGTCGTTGGTACCATCATTGATCCAATGGCCGATAAACTGTTGATGACGATTGGTGTTGCTTGCTTGGCCGTCAATGGTTCTATTCCTGGTAGGGTTCCTTCTTCCCCTAATGATGCTGTTGTTGTCGTTCAATCGAATATCGAATCAAGGGGGTCTTGCCTATCTCTTCTTGGCAGTCACTGATTTGGAACAGTATGGCTTGCGGTAATCATTCTCGGTCGCGATGTTGGGCTTGCGTTATCCGCAATCTACTATCGCTGGATATCTCTTCCCCCGCCGAAGACCATGGCACGGTACTGGGATTTCTCCCTTCCCTCTGCTGAGGTCAAGCCAACGGGCATCTCCAAAGTCAACACAGCTTTGCAACTTCTGCTTGTGGGATCTGCAATCGCATTGCCTGTGATTCCAGAGGCAATCCTGGATGCATGGAATCTCCGAGAAGGAATGACGGCGTTGCAGTAAGTACCATAGAACCCTCTTTTCTTTTTTCCCCATCCCCTTTTATTTCACCCTTATTCCTTTTGAATATTGGAGGAGAATGTGAGGTGTCTGCGCATATGGTTTCTGTCAGGGGAAACTCTAGTACGTACGACCACAGGGTGTGGAAAACAGGGCTTCCCGTCCGCTCAGCCGTACTTAAGCCACACGCCGGCCGGTTAGTAGTTGGGTGGGTGACCACCAGCGAATCCCGGCTGTTGTACGTTTTTTGCTGAATTTTCGAATCTTTTTGTTCTTCTTTTGTTAAATCTTTACTTGTTTATCTTACTCAATCGCATCGCATCCTAACCATTTTCCTAGGTATCTCGTTGCGGCCACTACAATCTGGTCTGGGCTCAGCTACGTCTTTTCCAAAGACGCAGTAAAGATCCTGACTAAGGAGGAAGTACAAAAGCGCATTGCAAGAGCCAGCGGGAAGAAGTCCTCTTGAACTGATTGTACATAGTGTATAGATGGTCTAGGGAAATAGTGTATGGCTTCGGCGCAGGTAGCGATAGGACTTAATCCTGTCGCCTTCCTATGTTTCGTTTGATGGGTTACTACAAGTTGTGGTCAATATTTGCATGGTTGGATTGTATATAACCGGCTAATGTACATAGAAAGGGGCAGTATAAACTTGATATTTGCAAGTGGAGCGAATGGCTTTAAGCGACTCGAGAGTATTGGAGTCTTCCCGTTTCTCAGCAGCTTTTTTCTGCTGAAACTTAAGAACTTTCCTCCTCTAAGGATTCGCGTAGCAGCCCATGAAATAACCAACAGATCTGAAGTGATTTCATTGAAGAGAACGCTCAATGGCGAACAAATATATGGGCGGACTTGATTGCCTTTTTGAGTGTTTACCCTTTTGTAAAGCCGACGAGATTGCTTTGCTCTTCCTGGTACCGGCATATGAAAGCACATACTTTGAGCACGGCTCTACATTGGCGTATCTTGACATCGTGGAGTTTGGCCATGCCCAAAATTAGAGTCATGGTCACTGACGAAGCTCCTGCTCAGCGCTAGCGGCGACGGTAGGATGCTGCCAGCGAAAGATGGAAACAATTCCCAGTTCCACGGTTATGACCTCACAAGTCAGGCGGGTTCGAGTTGTCAACCTTCAGGACATCCTCTCATGTCTTGGCCTGCTGCGTGGGGAACATCGCGTTCCAGTAGTTTTTGACTCCCTGGCATATACCCTCCCGGCCCTTCCAGGTTCGAAACTTCGATTCGAGTTCGCATGCCGTCCACAAGATCTCCCTCCAGAACTGTTTCTCCACATCCGTGCGGAACTCCCCAACCACCTCTTCGGGAATCGTCCAGGCGCGCGTGTAGCTACCGTCATCCTCGAAGGGCGGGTTGACGGCTTGGTCCTGGAAGATCGTGGCAGGGTTGAACTTGGGGTAGTTTGCGTGGATGAAGAAAGCTCGGGGCGCGGGCGCTTTGGAGCCGTGCACGCGCCATTGGCCCTTCTGTGTCAGGGCGTAATCTTCGACGGGGTCGAATTGGACCATCGCGGACCCAGCCAGTCCGGACTTGGTGCGGTGGCCGATGGCGACGATGGGCTCGCTGACTTGGTAGTGAGGCTCTTCCATTGTCAGCGCAGCTGCCACGAATGTCTCTTTGTCCCCCTCTCCCGCTGCGCCCTGTGATAGCAGGGCCCAGTAATAATCAGGGCCCCAGAAATTGTAGTATGTGCTCAAAAGAAGGGTGTTCGAGTGTGTTTTCTTCGAGATGAGCACCTCGCCGGATTCGCTCGACTGTCGGATGGTGTTTGGAGGTTTTGGTTTTGATGCGATTTCGTAGTAGTATGACGAAACGGTGTCGGCCCAGAAATCTGGCCATGTGACCATATTCTTCGACCTGAAAGGCTCATTTTTGAACATGATGTCTGGCTTCTCTAGCGGGAAGGCGTCGGCGTCCAAGAAGAGGATCTCTTCGAAAGATGAGAACATCATCGCGAAGAGCTTCAATTGGTATTTCTCGACCTGCATGATCTTGGGGACGGCATCGAGGATGTGCGACAGCACCACACATCGGGAATTCAGAGACGGCAGAATCACATCGCATATATACTCCTCATACTCCTCTTCATTTGCCAAAAAGACCTCTACCGGAAGCTCAGAGCCTGTTCTCCTGAGCATTCGAAGAGAGATGACCAGAACGGGCAAGTATGAACCTCCTGCTGTCGAGACCAGGCCCCTTGTGTTGGGGACATAGTGTAGTTGCGGCGGGTTGTCCTTGATGTCGCTGACAAACCCGGTATGCGCGTTCTTCATGACCTCGACTTCATTCGGTAGCATGTCCAGATACTCCCGTCGGTCTTCCGGTTTCGCTTCCTCGAACCGTATAGACGGCGCATCGCCGAGACGCATGGGAGGGTCGCATTTCGGCTGGTATTTGGCCAAAAGTGGCTGGAACTGCTGCCAGAAATGAATATGACCGTCGGTATTATGCAAGATTCTAACACCGTCGCTGTCAAGGTAGGAAGGGTTCTTGTCGCCTGTCTTGACTCTTGCTTCAGCATTTCCTGGTTGAGGCTGCATATAGGAGACAGATCGCCATCGCGCGAAAGACCAGGTGAAGACCGATGCAAGAAATACTGCAAGCAGTAACGTTCGCACCCGCGAATACATCCGAGGTACTGACATTATCGTCAAGATGCGAGCACGGAGGATGAGGAGAGTTAGCGGTCGCTTCCGCTGGCGAAGCTGAGTGAGAACCCTTTCTCTAACGGGTGTACCTAGTAGCACAAGATACGGAAGCTCAGGGGTCGTGAAACTTGTGCGAACCCAACAAGCTAGCACCTGTGACACACCGAGAGGATTCTATGGAGATTCAAGACCGCTTAATATTGTGGAAGAGTGGTAATGGGCTGATGATCAAAATAGATTTGCGGCGAGAGTGGATATACATAGGCGCTGGGCACCAGGAATGGCATGCAGAAGAAAACAAGTGAGTTCAAGGTAATGAATAGAAGATAAAACAACTAGGCTTACAATGGAGTAAAAGCGAAGGTCAGACTGCAATCTATATTTTGAGTACTTGAATGCTTAAACTTGGCTAAACTGAAATTAATTGGACGGGATAAAATAATCACTGTCAATGATGATAGAGTAATTATGATCCGCCGGTCTGCGGGAAGTCAATTTAATCCGCCACCTTGGTGATGATCATCGACTGTGTCATATTATTCTTCAGACCCAGAGTGTTCTCTTTGTTCTACTAGTTTACTTTCAGGTTGAATAGCGATAATAGAGAAGGAATGTATTCTGGATTCAGAGATCAGGGATATAAACATGATATAGACTATCCGTTGTTGACCCGAGACCTCCGAGAGGTATATACATATGATAACCTTGATATAGATATGCCATAATGCCACATGCAATGCAAAGATCAACAAGCCCCCAAAATGATTTCAGTCGCTGTACCATCCCATGCGCCATGCAGTTTCCCAATAAATCTTAAACCCAATATTAATCGTACATGCCTCCTAGATGATTGAAACTGTCGCTGCATTCTGTACTCTCAAACAGATTCACGTAACACGCTTTCCGCAGATCCTTCAATCGCGTCTGCATCGAGTGATTCTTTGCTCATGCCCGTGGTCCTGCGGACGTGCATCAGCAACCTCAGAGCACCCGCTGGTGTGACTCCTTCGATGCGCCTCGCCATTCCCACACTAACGGGTCGAACGCGCTCGAGGGCCTGTCTTTCCTCTGTACTGATGCCTTGGACCTTTGAGTAGTCCAGGTCAGGAGGGAGGAGGAGGCTCTCATCCTGCAGGAATTTCCTCGCCATTGCCTCCTGCCGCTTGACATAAGGTGCGTAGCGACCTTCGATGTTGACTCGCGTTCGGATCATGGGGTCGAACGACGAGGGTGTGTATGCCATACCCGATGGCGATTCGATGTGGGGGATCAGGGCGTCGATGTCCACAGCGTCGAGGCAGAGGAGGTCAAGCGCCGAGCGGACGGAGCTGTCGGTTCGAGTTTTAAATCCTTTGCGCGACCAGACGCTAGAGGAAAGTTTTGTGTTGGCGAGGAGGTTCTGCAACTCCTTGATTTGCGCTTCTGTGTCGGTGAAGTAACGCCACCGCTTGTCCGAGACCACACCGGCGTTACGGGCCATACGTGTGAGTCGCAGATCGGCATTGTCGGACCGAGTCGAAATGCGATATTCGCTTCGTGCTGTGAACATACGGTAGGGCTCGGATACTCCCTTTGTGATGAGGTCGTCGATCATGATTCCGATAAATCCGTCCGACCGGGTGAGAGTCAACGGCTGTCGCCCTTGAGCAGACAGACCGGCGTTCGTACCGGCAATGATCCCCTGTCCTGCAGCTTCTTCATATCCAGTTGTTCCATTGATCTGGCCTGCAAGATACAGGCCACTGATTAGTTTTGTCTCCAGAGTCGGCCGGAGATTGCGGGGATCGATGTAGTCGTACTCCACACCGTAGCCGGGCTGTAGCATGCGCACGTTCTCAAGACCGCGGACCGTTCGTAGCAGGGCATATTGTGCATCTGCCGGAATGGTCATGGAGATACCGTTCGGGTAGATGACCTCATTCGGTGCGAATCCTTCCGGTTCGAGCCAGATCTGGTGTTGGTTTTTATCCGTAAAACGTATAATCTTCGATTCTAGCGAGGGACAGTAGCGTGGCCCTCGTACAGTCTCGCGAATGTGAATTGATTTGTCCAGATTAGCGCGAACAATCTCGTGTGAAGCTTCATTGGTGTGGGTCATCCAGCATGTAAGCTGACCTTCATCGCCAACATCGACCGTCGTGTTGAGGTACGAGAAAGGTTGCGGAGGTGAGTCGCCTTTCTGAACTTCCAATGACGAAAAGTCGATCGTTTTCATGTCCAAACGAGGAGGAGTACCGGTCTTCAGACGACCAAGTTGGAACCCAGCTTCGCGAAGGGATTTGCTAAGCCCAAACGTAGCCGCTTCGCCCATACGCCCCGAAGGATACGCTTCAAGTCCAATGTGTATTTCTCCACCGAGAAACGTTCCAGTTGTAATGACGACGCGCCCAGTAGGTATTACCTCTCCGGATTCGAGCCTTACTCCGACAATCTTGCCCTGCGATCCCGGGATGTTCTCCACCCCCTCTTTTGACACCACAATATCGGCAACCTTGCCTTCCACTATGCTCAGCCCTTCGGTAGCGACTAGCTCCTCCTGCATGTACTTCTTGTAGAGATCCCGGTCGATCTGAGCGCGCGGACCCCACACAGCTGGTCCCTTGGAGCGATTGAGAATGCGAAACATGATACCAGCCTTGTCAATGATTCGCCCTGCCACGCCATCCATGGCATCAATTTCGCGGATCATTGTTCCTTTCCCGATTCCGCCAAAACTCGGATTGCATGAGCAAACACCAATGTTCGAAAGCGAGGGCGTAATCAGTGCGGTGCGTGCGCCAGATCGAGCGGCAGCTGCAGAGGCCTCAGAACCAGCGTGACCACCTCCGATAACGACGACATCGTATGCCCTACGTGCTTAGAGTTAGTACCGTACAGAGACGACTAGGATAAGAGTGCTGGGCAACATACCGGGTTCCATCAGAAACCGTGGCCATGCCTCGTGTGAGACCCATGGCCCGGGAGCGAGGAGCAGAGCCCCATCGCCAAAGAGCCACTGACCGCGCCCGGAAAGCCATGATGATCGCTTTCTAGTCTGGACGACTCTACAGCAGAACAGTAAACTGCATTGATGGCTAAAGAAAAATACTGGCGGTTATCTGGATCACGTGGATGCTATTTTCTTATTGCCATTTAATTCCGAAGGCGGTGGAAAAAATGGTGCGTGCCTTTGCTGATGTAATGGAAATAAGCAATATTGCCCATGATTTGCGCGATCAGTAATGCGGGGCTGCTTTTTCATGCCCCGCAGGACCTTAGATGGGTTTTCTGTCTTCTATATCTTCGCGCTGATAGGATAGGAGATACTTCGTTGGGCTCTTTGTCAGACAAGCCTGTTGACTATTATCTGAACGCAAATAGACACTCTCTTTGGCCCTCGTCACAGGAGAAGCATTGCACCATGAAGGCCTATTGGTATGACAACAAACCGGTATGTTTCATTATCCGAGACTATGGCTCCCTTCTTGGTCAGGTCTCCTATCAGGTAGAGACTGAGATTGCAATAGGGCGACCAGAGGGAACCCCATGACTCCGGCCGTCCGGTAACTGTGGCCTACCTCGCCTCCATTGGAGTTCAGTACCATCATCTCCCCTCCCTCGAGTCTGTCAATGAATTGGCGAAGGATCGCGGATACAAGAATCGCGACGAGATTGTCGTTTCGCCGCAGACGATGGGTGATGCGTACGAGGAGAAGGTGAAGATGTTCTTCCATGAGCATCTGCACGAAGATGAGGAGATCCGCTACATCCGTGATGGCGAGGGTTACTTTGACGTGCGTGGTCAGGAGGACGAATGGGTTCGGATCAAGTTGGAGAAGGATGACTTGATCATTCTCCCCGCTGGTATCTACCATCGTTTCACCACTGATGACAAGAATGTCGGTCTTCATGAGCTTATGTTGTCTACACTTTGATTACCAACTTTGCTGATTGCTTTGTTTACAGTACGTCAAGGCTATGCGCCTTTTCCAGGAAGAGCCTAAATGGACTCCCTTGAACCGTGGCCCTGATGTCGATGAGAACTCTCATCGGCAGTCTTACCTCCGCAAGGTCCAGACCAACGTCGTTGCTTAGGATATTTGCTTTCCATGATGAATTATGCTAAGTCTGTCTCTTATACCCATCTTACGCTCCCGACGCTCTTACCCGCTTCAATCGCGGGGTTCTCTGTTACGTTTATCAATATCTTTATATTTTCCTCAACTT